CTCAATAATACCCAGTTGTCTACTGCTTCTGAGCGCACCGGTAGCTAAGAGACAAATATACAGTACATACTGCATATGCAAAACATACATGTACAAGTTTGTGAAATAAGTTTTAAGATAAACATGGTGCATTTTGTAAACATTTTTAACAATAACCAGCTATGTCTCTATGATAAAGGGTGACCATGTTTGCCTATAATCATACGCAACACACACTGTATTATTAAGCGTTATATACTGTATATATATTTTTCTATATATCAAGAATATTCTGTATCTCAATATATCAATCGATATCCCAATTGAATGTCAGTGCGAGTTGTGGTGCNTCTATATATCAAGAATATTCTGTATCTCAATATATCAATCGATATCCCAATTGAATGTCAGTGCGAGTTGTGGTGCGAGAGATGGCGCGCATAACCAATGGCTGCAAAGCCTGCAAAGCATTGCATTCGCAAAACGTGTTTATGTTTTTGTAGTGCAAAACATGTGTTGATTTTGAGGCAAAACTTTATATTTTGTTTGTCATTAGTTTTGATTGTATTTTGCATTTGAATCACAACTCAATCACAACTCAAGACAAGTGAAGACACAGCCGAAGAGGAAAGGCGTGAAAATGGTTCTGAAAAAACTGGACAATCGGCTGAAGGTATTGATCGAGAATGGGATCGCTTGCGGACACCGCTCTATGTTTGTGATCGTCGGCCAGAAGGCCAAGGATCAGGTCAGTAGTGATACCCCGATGGGTGTCATCCACAGACACGTGGTCTTTGTGTTGATAACTAATTGTCTGCAATCGTGTCGTTTGGATCAATAGGTGGTTATATTACACGAAATGCTGTCCAAATGTCTGGTGCGGTCGCGACCGACAGTCCTCTGGTGTTATAAGAAAGAGCTCGGATTCTCCACGTAATGTCTTCGCCGGTGATGTCTTAACGACTGTCTAATTGATTGTCTGTTTGTTTTGTGTCCACACGTGTGTAGGCATCGCAAGAAGCGTATGCGTCAGATGCAGAAGAAGATCAAATCGGGCGCCGATATGGACAACGAAGAGGACCTGTTCATGACATTCGTGGCCCAAACAAACATCCGTTACTGTTATTACAACGAAACGCACCGTATATTAGGCCAGACGTACGGAATGGTTGTCCTCCAGGACTTCGAGGCCATCACTCCTAACCTATTGGCGCGAACTGTGGAGACCGTAGAGGGCGGCGGTATTGTCGCTGTGCTCTTGAATTCGGTGGACTCGTTGAAACAGTTGCACACAATGGCGATGGATGTCCACCAGCGCTACCGCACCGAAGCTCATCAGGAAGTGGTCAATAGGTTTAACGAGCGCTTCATTTTGTCGATCAGTTCGTGCAAGAAGTGTGTGGTTGTTGACCATCGACTCAATGTACTGCCCGTCTCGTCACACATCGCCGACATTACGCCCCTCCAGAAGAAGGACTCGTCCACACCGTTGTCGGCCAACGACGCAGAGTTGGCTGAATTGAGACAATCTCTGGCCGACACACAGCCCATCGGATCCATAATTAATTTGTGCAAAACCTTAGATCAGGCGAAAGCTGTGCTCAAGTTTGTGGACACCATATCGGAGAAGACACTGAACTCGACGGTATCGCTGACAGCGGCCAGAGGTCGCGGCAAATCGGCTGCACTCGGGCTGTCGATCGCTGCGGCCGTTGCCTTCAATTACTCCAACATTTACGTGACGTCTCCGTCGCCCGAGAATCTGAAGACATTGTTTGAATTCGTGTTGAAAGGCTTTGACGCCATTCATCTGAAAGAGCACTTGGATTACGATATCATCCAATCGACTAATGTTGAGTTCAACAAAGCCGTGGTTCGGATCAATCTGTTCCGAGAACACAGACAGACAATACAATACATACACCCGACGGATGCGCTGAAGAACAAAATCCTGGCCCAATCGGCCGAACTTGTGGTCATAGACGAGGCGGCGGCCATTCCTCTGCCGATTGTCAAGTCGCTGATTGGCTCGTATTTAGTATTCATGTCGTCGACGATCAATGGATACGAAGGCACGGGTCGGTCGCTGTCGCTGAAACTTCTTCAACAACTGCGACAACAATCGGCTACTTTTGGCCACAAGTCTGGCTCATCGCTGACCGGCCGTATACTACATGAGTTGACACTCAATGAGTCGATTCGCTACCAAAATGGCGACGACGTGGAGCTCTGGCTCAACAAACTGTTGTGTTTGGACGCGTCGATCGCCGAATCGATTCCCACGGGTCAGTGTCCACTACCCGACGACTGTAGCCTCTATTACATCAATCGCGACACACTCTTCAGCTATCACTCGGCGTCGGAGGCATTCCTGCAGCGAATTATGGCTCTGTATGTGTCCTCGCATTACAAGAACACACCCAACGATCTGCAGATGATGTCCGACGCGCCTCAACACCACCTCTTCTGTCTGTTACCGCCGATGAATGAAAAACAGCGTTCGAAAGGCAAGATTCCGGACGTCCTGTGCTTTATTCAGGTGTGCTTTGAGGGCCAGATATCGGAGAACTCCATTATGAATAGCCTGTCGCGCGGCAGGAGAGCGGCCGGTGATCTGATTCCGTGGACAATATCCCAACAGTTCCAGGACTCGCACTTCGGCTCACTATCAGGCGCTCGAGTGATAAGAATCGCCACAAATCCTAACTATCAAAACATGGGTTACGGGACGCGAGCCCTGCGTCTATTGGAAGACTACTTCTGCGGTCAGTTTAATATCGATCTCAACGAAAACAACGGCGACAACAAAATGGATGCGATGGACAGCAACGAAGAGGGAACCGATCGCAAGGTTCTGTCGCCACTATTACTATCGCTGAGCGAACGAAAAGCGGAACAATTGGATTATTTGGGCGTTTCGTTTGGTCTGACCAGCGATTTGTTAAAGTTCTGGAAAAAGTCGGGTTATTTGCCGGTATATCTGCGACAAACGGCCAACGACTTGACGGGCGAACACTCCTGTATTATGTTGAAAGTGCTCAATGAGGCCACTGTTGAGCAGCGCATGGACTCAATCGGCGGTGCGATTGTCGGTCGCACTCAACGCACCAACGATTGGCTCAAAGAGTTTTGGATTGACTTTCGGAAGCGTTTCATAGCATTACTGTCCTATCAATTCAGTCAATTCGGCGCCGCTTTTGCTCTCAATATTCTCTATAATCTTAACGTCAAATCCGATGCGAATCAAGACTTTAAGGAATTAACGCGCGAAGAGCTTCGACTCCATCTGACTCTCTATGATATGAAACGACTGGAACTGTATTCGCAAAATCTGGTCGATTATCACCTGATTGTGGATCTGTTGCCGACAGTATCTCGTCTGTACTTCGGGCAGCGATTTGGTCCGCAAATGCATTTATCTCACGTTCAAAACGCCATTTTGTTAGCCATCGGTCTTCAGCACAAAGATGTGGACGCGATTTGCGCTGAATTAGGGCTTCCGTCGACACAAGTGTTGGGTCTCTTCACTCGTGTGATCAAAAAGTTTTCCAATTATTTGCGCGCCATTGAAGAGAAGAGTGTGGAGAAGACATTGACTGAAGTGATACCTATTGGCGACGACTCGATGAGACCATTGAGTCAATCACTGGACGACGAGTTGACAGAAGCGGCAAAACAGGTCCACAAGTCGGCGAAGAAGGAGTTTAAAGAGTTGTCGAAAGACTTGTCTCAATACGCGATTAAAGGGTCGGAAGATGTTTGGGACAGCGCTCTGAAAGGCAGTGGAAAGACATTGGTTTCTATTAAAAGGTATGATTTGTTAGTTTAATAGTTGTTTTGTTAATTGTTTTCTGTTTTATTGTTTGAATAGTTTGGCGAAACGTCCGGCAAATGACGAACAGAAACGTAATGATAATAACAGTAATAAAAGTCATAAGAATTTCAAGAAATTTAAAGGAAAAAAGTTTAGAAAATAATTTATTTGACAAAAACTTTGTTTTTATTTAATGTTTTATTAATGTATTGAATAAAAATACAGTGATATTGAAATGGCAATGGTTTTGAATTATTTGTCTTGAGGATCGGGTGCAGTGAATACAATGGCGCATAGATATGCGCGACACGACTCACAGCTAACTTTCAAACTCTTGTAATCAATGAGACACTGATTTGATTTCTTGCAAACAATTATTGTATTTTTTCGCAGATAACGGCTGTTGAATAGACGGCACGACTCGCAACCAAAGTGGCCATTGGTTTGCCGTTTTGGGTGGCGATGGCCGCAGATTTCGCACACCTGTCGACCGCCATCTGTCCATTCAATGAGTTTAGGCCTTCTCTCTATAGGTATGAATGGTATGATTGATAAGAGTTTTGCACATCATTTCAAACCACTTACTTGTGTCCAAACTGTGGTAAACATCAATGTCGTGGTGTGAATGTGTGGCCTCATGAGTGAGAGGTGTCTCAAATGAATTTGATGAAAGACTTGCACCTCTTGTCTCGCTGTAGACAATGAAGGCGTCGATTTCAGCCAATTTATCGCACATTTCGTCACAGTTTTTGCTAAGTGTCTGATCCCAAGACATGAATAAATGGTAAATTGTGTGCAATAATCAATTCAATACTTACTTCGATTGTCTTCATTTGGGAACTGATCTCATCTATTAGTTCACTCTCTTGTGAATCAAATGTTTGCAATTCGTTCATCAGTTTCTGTCTCTGAGTTTTAATCCCGTTTATAATCAACAAATTCTTCTCCATTTCATCGTTAACTTTCTTAATCACAGACTTCTTATATTGAATCTCATTTCTTAACCATTGAATAGTGTGGTAAACATCCATTCTTGAGATAATTTGTTTCAAATTATTAGTAAATTATAATTAATACGTTAAATGTATTTTAAATGTATTTTTTTAAAATTAAATCTCGATATTTAATGCATTTTTAAAACTATTTATTTCGTGTATTTTCAAAGCACTCATTGATTTAGTATTTAACGTCAATTTATGTGATATAAAGGCTGAACCGATGGTTAAAATGGAAAACCTAATCAAATTGATGTGTAAATGTGATGACAGCGCCGTTCAGACCATTTCACAGATACTTCACAGTCAGCACCGGTTGAGGACATTGTTTGCCAAATTAGTGGTCGCCCTTCAAAAACATGATCTCAAGAAATCTATAATTAGTATCAATTATAAAGTCTACGAATCGCTGGCAAAAGCTTTTGATTACATCGATGGCGCGGATCAAGTGATCAACAATTTTTATGAATTGATTTTTAATCCAAAATCACGAGAAAATATTTAATAAGTTTTTGTTAAAAACAAAACTTTTATAAACTTTAAAATAATTTCAAATTTGAATAAAAAGTTAAAATTAACGTATTTTTACATAAAATTAAAAGTAATTACAAATCACTTCAATCGTAAAACATATTAAGACTTATTAAACATAAATTGTTGTGACGTTTAAACCAAAGGTGGGAACAGTTGAGTGACTCGACAGCGCGGATGGTATAAGCGATTGCAGACCTATTTGTGGCCAAATCATGTCTACAGCTATCCATTCAAATGCCGCCGATATATACCCGAAACGGATCTCTATCTGAAGGAAAGGGTGGAACAGTTGGGTGACGTCCAGTCGCTGACAGTCGACTCTTACGCCCATCTCATTGTCGATCAGCGCTCGAAGACAATCGTCAACGAAGTGGTCAACTATTTTAACCGATGGCTAATTAAGTCACGCTTTTGTCCGCAAGTCGTGACCCGAGAGGACATGGATTACATGATAACACATATCGACGACATTAATACTCATCGCCGGCGAAGACATTTGGATTACATGTTTATCCGAGAGTTTGATAATTGGCGTCGAAAGAGGGAAGAGATGGCCAGACGTGAGGAACACGAGAGACAAAAACAGGAACTGTTGGCTAACTTTCATCAGATCGGGTGCTTTGATGACCAAAACCGACTGCAATACGGCTTTTGGCGGAACTCAATGTTCAGCAAATACTGTGGCAGAGGACCGAAGAAATATTCGCTGAATCGGTTGAGAACCGCTACACTCTTCGGACAGAAACTGGTGATTGACTGTTCATTTGATACCCAAATGCAAGAATACGAGGTCCAGAGTGTCGGCCGACAAATGGCCCGAATATATCACACGAATCGTATGGAATCGAGTGATCCGTTTGACATCCATTACTGCGGCGCCGATCCCGACGGCCGGGTCTACAAGACTCTCGTCAAATACATGGCTCCGATCCAAGACTTCGAGAAATACTATTTCAATATTCATCGCCAGACATATCGGGAACTCTTTCCCGACGAACGCTTCGTCTATCTGTCGCCCGACGCCCGGCAAGTGATGACTGAATTTGATCCAAAGGTGACGTTAAATATTAAATATGTATTCTGTGTTATAATTGATTAATGAAATTCATAATAATTAAATAAAATTTGTAATTAAAAAGTATTGTAATATTTTTTATTGTAAACGATATTTTTTACATAAATGCAAAAATTACTAAATTTAATAATTAATATATTGCATTAGGAACCACAGATAGCATTCAGATAGCACTAATGCATTAAAACTACTGTAAAGTGTGTAATGTAAAGTCTATGGGTGTATATAGGCAAAGCCTACTTTTGGCTGTTAATGATATATTGTTTGGGAACTAAAACTAATTGTTTGGAAACCGAAACTAATTGTTTAGAAACAGAAACTTATTGTTTGAAAACCAAAACTAATCGGTGAAAACACGACAGAATCGGTGAAAACACGACAGAATCGGTGAAAACACGACAGAATCGGTGAAAACACGACAGAATCGGTGAAAACACGACAGAATCGGTGAATAATGGCTAAATAACGGTAAAATTCTTTACAAAAACTGAAAATATAGTTATAAAAACAATAAAATTAGTCATTAAACCAAAATTGTGTTAACAATTAGTGGTAATATTATTGTTTCCATTTGACATAAAACCAACAATATTTCCACACAAACAAAGAAATTGCTTTAAAAACCAAACATTTTTAAAAATATCGCCCGAAATAACAATTATTGTAAAATAATTAACAAAATATTTAACAAAACGTTTAAAATTTTAATTTGGTTTTCACATTAAAAATGATTTATTTTTCTTTTGCATTGACCCACCACTGAGTGGTTCCAGACATTAGGTGCGCTTCTGTTGAACACTTTGATGACAGAGCGGACAGTTGTTAAACGTAACCAAATCTGCTTTATAGGCGTGATGTCCGCATCGGCCACACGTCCACTGTTTGGTTGAGTCCATTATCGGTCGACCGCTCGCCACACATATGGAGAACTTCATGTGACACGAGGGACACACAGTCAGCCAATCAGAGATCATTGTCTCGCAAGCCGTGCACTCGCTTTTGGCCGCCGATCGCCAGTCTTTGGGCGGATTCGCGCTAAATATCTGAATCGCCAGCTCTTCGTACAGTTGTCGGCGTTCTTCGGCAATCGATTCCAACGATTCCAGTTTTATGAACGCTTTGGAACAGATGGAGAAGGCTTTGTTGGCCGCACTCGCGAGTCCCAGAAGACAGTAGATCTCTTCGGCGTCTATAAAGTCCTCGAAGTCGCGCAAATGAAGCGCCGTTTTCATGGCTGAGTCAAAGTATCCGTCGTATAGTTGTCGCTGACATAGGATCAGGAAATGGTAGGCTTCGGCACCTGTGAGGGGACAAACAATGGGATCAGTTGTAGCGATAGTACGGGTGATGCGAACCCTTCCACGGCTCGTCCAAAACCATGTAATTTGTGTTTTCAAACTGAAAGGAGTCGTCGTTGAGGAGAGCCGTCAGCGCCGATGACTTCTTGGTCTGAGTGGACGACCGGTTCGGCGATCGGCGGCTCTCTTCGTGCAGAAGACCCACTAATGTATACAACTTTTTCAGTACAATGGGATCCGCTTTGGCGTCGCGTTTGCTATCTTTAATCACTTTCAATAACATAGCGGACGCTTCGGACAGTTTGTTGGCCTTCCGGTAGAGCTCAACGATGTCGAAGAAGCGGTGTTTCGACAGCAGGTGTTCCGCGTATTTGGACAGAAGGCCGTCGATATCCGGCACATCGTATTCGTGCGCCAAATCGATGGCGAGTTTCCATTCACTCATATGAACGCAACAATCAATGGCCAGATCTATCTTACGGCCCCTGCGGTAGGCGTCGACCGCCTCGAGACACATACCCACCGACTCGAAGGTGCGGCCGAACTCAGCCAGTATTGGGTGACTGTCGGCGAAGTTTGTGACCAACTTCTTGAGCCCGTCGTAGTTCTCGAGCAAACAATAGCACTCGAAGAGCCGGTCGTAAGCGCCGGACCTCTCGTAGTGAACGACCGCCTCTTCCCAGTCGTGTCGGTCGGCGAAGTAGTCGCCGAGAGAGCACAACGCGTCCCGCATCTGATGGTCATCGGCGGTGCCGAAGTCCGAGCCCTGAAGCAGTTCCACCACTCGCTGGTACTGACCCAGCGTTCGCCGCAACTCAATGGCCAGATCTCTGCGATCGACCTCCAGATACAAGCGCTCGGAGGCGTCAAAGTCGCCGAAATAGGCCATAATCTCCGCCCTCTTGAGCGACTCGTTTTGCAATTGTTTCACTCGTTTCACAAATTGTATGCCTTTATAGTCGCGACACTTAACCATCGCTACCTCCGCCACGTCCAGAGCCAACGCCCGGAGCGCTGTCTCGCATAACAGGCGCCACAGTCTCGGGTGTGACTGTCTCTCGATATAACTGGTCGCCTCCCGGAGATCGGCCGCCGTCTCCAACATCTGTCGCGCGTCGGCCAACGATTTGGTCTCGTAGTCAACGACATGACCGCCGATGGAAAGTATCTGTTCGTCACCGCTTCCGCCGCCGCCACCCGTCTGTCGGTTATCGTTGACCAACTCGTCCAACAATACTGTCCGAAGTGTGAGCTCTTCGAAGACACAGATGTGACCACTGCTGGCGAAGGGGTCGGGCTCTGCCTCCAGTGTTTTCATGTTAAACACACAGAGTTTGGTCTTTTCGGTGATAGCCATCATATCGGCGTCATCTGAAGCCCACTTCACGTCCCACACGTCGTGGCGCTCGAACTCCAGTAACTTTCCCGAAGACTCCGACCGATCGGTAGTACTGTTGGCCTCCAAATCGTAGACCAAAAGTGTGCCGATTGTGTCGATGATAGCCAACCGACTCGAGTCCCGATTCAACGCCATTCTCGACGTCTGGCACTGAATGTTAAACTTGGAGACGAGCGACACGTTTGGCAGCAAATAGTGCTGAAAAGTACCCGACTCTTGAGCCACAATCAGATCCTTTTCGGAGCAAACGATACCACAAATGGGATCGTTATGTGAGATGAATGTCGTGCGCACGGGTTGGTCGTCATCCGAGTCCATGCCATCCATCGACAAACCCATCTCTGAGTACGTGATTCTCTGAGCGGCGATCCCTTTGGGGGCCATCAGAGCGGCGGCTGTGGGCGCCCGGAAGCGCCACAACAGGAACGAGTCCCTCGAGGCGGCCACCACTCGAGTGCTGTTCACCGCCAGATAGTGGACATAGAGCTCGATGTTAGTCATGTCCACAGGAGTGCCGATGGCGTTGCATACGATCAGTGAACTCGTGTCCCGTTTCTTAACGCCCGGATCATCGCATTTGGTTGCGATCACACACTGGAGTGCGTGCGAAGAGATCTGAAGCAGATTCCGGACACTCTTCACGTGTTTGGTCTCGGATGGGATGTGCCAGAAGACTATGGTGTCGACGGGTCCGGCGCTCAGTGCCGTCGATTGGGTCTGGTATTCATCGCCGGTCGCCGCCTGACCTGTGGTTCCGGTATTGGGCGCCAAAGCGTAGACAACTGTCGACGCGAAGTAACACCACTTATAGTCGGGCCTAATGTTGGCGAAGAATATATACGAATCGACGGCCAGCGCTATCCTAAGGCCCTCCCTCTCCCAGGAAGACGAGTAGATCTCCTTTCCGGGCACTCGTAGTGTTTGTATCAGTTCTCCCGATTGGTTGTAAAACTTGATGAAATTGCGTTTATTGTCGCCTTCGGTGTCCACACAACCGGTCACAGAGAGTACGGTTCCGGCGGTATTCCAGCAGATGCTCGACACCCGGATCTCTGTGTCGAAGACAATGGGATTGTCGTCGGACTCGTATCGCATCAGTTGTATGCGTCCGGTCTCGAAGGCTATGGCCAGCGATTGGCTCTCTTTAGACTTGGCCACTGCTGTGCCGTTAAACCAACGAATGCCTATCACTTGGGCGGCCGTCCCGTAAGCGGCCGAACGGGCGTACAGTCCCTGAATTGCCTGCAGAGACACTTTGGTCAAGAAGTTTCCGTTTTGGTCGTAAACATGCACTTCAGAGTCCAATACACCAAACAGTATGAGTCGGCCGTCGGGCGACCACTCGACCTGAGACAGACGCATACCCTTCAACTCTTTGCCCCAAAGCCTATTGCCGTCGACTGAGCCCACAATCACCGCTCCGTCTTCGTAGACAATGCATATCTTCTGGCCGTCGAAAGTCCAGGCCATCCCCCGCACCACCGATTTGTTGCGATTGTTGACCATCTCTTCATACCACGAGCCCTTGTATAACATCCAGACGATGATCAGTCCGTTCTGGTCGCTGGACGTCAACTTCTGGAACGGTTCGTTCCAACACATGTTCTCAACGGTTCCCGAGTGTCCCTCCAGTGTCTGATTCATCGACAGATTTCTGGATGCGGCCAACCCTTTGGCCTGAGCTTTGTTGCCATCGGCGCCGGCGTCCGGACCGCCCGACTCTAGTTTAAGCACTTTCAAGAGGCCGTCTTCGCCGCCACACGCGATGAACCCGTGATCCCGACTCCAGGCCAGTCCTCGCACCTTATGGTTGTTGGGAATCGCTATCTTCTTACTTAAGTAGACAAACATTTTTATGGCTATTATTGCTATTTTTGTGGTGATAATTGTCTCAATTGTTTGTATCCATGGATTCAATAGTGGTTTCTGTTTTGTTGATGCGATTCTTGTAGTGGTTTCTAATGACAACCAAATTATATTCTGTGCTTTTCATTGCCTATCAATTGATTGCATAATATGTTTATATCATTGCAAACATTCACACATTATTTTATTAAAAATACTTTTTGCTATATTTCTCATAAAATTCAAACACAATTGTTGTTCAATAATAAGAGAAACTTTGGTTTATAAGCGATATTCAAATGGATTATCAATAAATCAGTGCTCAAAACGCAACGGTTATAGACTTCACTATAAATGCTATAATAATGTGTTTTTTACCGAATCCGGTGCCCGAAGAAGACCTCATATTCAGTGGCATTCAAATCAATGTCCAGTTTAGGCAAACATTAACTGTTAGATTGCATTCAATGCTTACTTACAATTATATTCATCAAAATAGTTAAATAATTAAAATACAATTCAATTGCTGTTAAAATATTTTATTCTACATTAAAATGAGAGACAATTAGTGGTACTAATCAGCAAAACATTATTCATCGTGTGATTGATTGCGGCCAAAGATGTGATCACATTTACGAATGAAACACGAATGACAATCGAGATCACAGTCCAAGTGATCGCAAACAAAGTTCAGGCGCTCATTAGGTCTGTTATATCTATTATATCGCTTATAACAGTTATGGCACACAAACCGCTGCCATTCCCTCCGAAGAATGGCACGACGGGAACAGTTACAAAGAACACAATCATTAGTCACCGGATCAACAGTGACATCAATAACTTCGTTATTGACATTATTATCTATGATATGAATGTATGATTGATAAGTGTTTTGCATATAGTTTCAAACCAATTACCCATTGGCGGCAACGGCTGTCCCACAACGCCTGCCATTTGGTCTCTCAACGCCAGTGTCTGTCTACCAATCAGACTCACGGTTTCACTGTATTCGCGATTGCCTGTGATTACGGGCTGATCCCAAGAGAGTGATTAGTGGCTAAACATTATGCAAAACACTATTCAATACATACCGAAAGCAAACCTATATTATGTTTCAATACTTCAAATGCATTTATAATAATATCAATGTTTTGCTGTATCTGAGGAATGAGATAATCAGCGACAGACTGATTGTGGACACAATTAATGTGCAAATTATTTAATTTGCTAATGATTTCATCGATGTCTTCCATCGTTAACTTATTTCAAACTGATTTTTGAGAACAACTATCAAATGGTTTTTTAAATTGTAATTTTTAAATTCACGTTAACTATAATACAATCAAATAATGAGTGATTTTTATTCATTGAATTCAATATTAAATGAAATGATTTTAAAATGAAAGTTATTAAAAGTTTTTGTTATAATTCTCGCGATTCTTATAGTAATTAAAAGTAAAATTCATTTATTATCAAACAATAGGAGAAACCATTGGTTTATAAGCGATATTCAAATCTATTAATCAGTGATCGAAACCAATCGGTTATAAACTTCACTATAAATGCTATAATTATGTGTTTTTTACCGAATCCGGTGCCCGAAGAAGACCTAATATTTAGTGACCCGAACGCCGTGTCATTCATGTCCTCATTCTTCATCAATCTGTGCGAAAAATATCAATGGATTGTTTTGCGGGAACTGACGGATCCGATGGCCACTCGTCGCTACCAAATGGCACTTATATTTCGGTCACTGTTTTCTCTAAAAAAATCTTTGCCGACAATCAATGTCTGCAAAGAGTTATACACTGAAAGAATGTCTGGTATTTGGCGTCATTTTGAAGGGCTTTTGTCGGACACCGAACCCAATGTGAGAATCGTTTGCATTCAAGCGATTGATGTCTTATTGGAGACACAGATTGACGAACAGATTGTGTCTGATTTGGTGTCAAATCTAATCCGAAGTCTTCGAGATGTGGAGGAATTGATTCGATGCGAGTCTGTGTTAGTTGTGGATCACTGCCACCGATCGCAGAATATTCTGAATCACAATCTAATGAGACATTTTGTGGCCAGAATTGGTGACCGCGAGTACGCGAGCGGACACTCGTCTCGGTTTCCAATGTTTTTCATACAATTAATAAATTGTAAACAAAAACAGCAATTCTTTGTCTATAAGTTATCGACGGCTTGTCTTCTCAGATATCCACTCATTGATGATGAGGAAGAAAAGTATACTTTTTTTTAATTAACATGTTTTAAATTAAAATATATATTGTATTTCAAATCACAATTAGGTTATTAACAGAAAATATATAATTTATTCAAATAGATTTGTTTTTGTTATTTTGTATTTCATTTTATAGTTTTAGTAAATGATAATAAGTTTAAAATACAATATTCTTTCATTAATCAAATTTAATATTGAATTAATGCCTATTTCTAATTTACTTCCAGAGGACTCATTGAATTTCACGTCAATTTATGTGACATAAAGGCTGAACCGATGATTAAAATGCAAAACCTAATCAAATTGATGTGTAAATGTGATGACAGCGCCGTTCAGACCATTTCACAGATACTTCACAGTCAGCACCGGTTGAGGACATTGTTTGCTAAACTAGTGGTCGCCGTTAAAAAACATGATTTCATGAAATCTATAGTTAGTATCAATTATAAAATCTACGAATCACTGGCAAAGGCTTTTGAATACATCGATGTCTCGGATCAAGTGATCAACAATTTTTATAAATTGATTTGTAATCCAAAAATCACGAGAAAATATTTAATAAGTTTTTGTTAAAAACAGAACTTTTATAAACTTTAAAATAATTTCAAATTTGAATAAAAAATTTAAATTAACGTATTTTTACATAAAATTAAAAGTAAACACTAATCACTTCAATCGTAAAACGTATTAAGACATTAAACATAAATTGTTGTGACATTTAAACCAAAGGTGGGAACAGTTGAGTGACTCGACAGCGCGGATGGTATAAGCGATTGCAGACCTATTTGTGGCCAAACCATGTCTACAGCTATCCATTCAAATGCCGCCGATATATACCCGAAACGGATCTCTTTCTGAAGGAAAGGGTGGAACAGTTGGGTGACGTCCAGCCGCTGACAGTCGACTCTTACGCCCATCTCGTTGTCGATCAGCGCTCGGAGACAATCGTCAACGAAGTGGTCAACTATTTTAACCGATGGCTAATTAAGTCACGCTTTTGTCCGCAAGTCGTGACCCGAGAGGACATGGATTACATGATAACACATATCGACGACATTAACACTCATTGTTTGGGAAACGACACTAATTGTTACAAAACACGATAGAATCGGTGAAATCAATGGCTAAATAACGGTAAAATTGTTCATAAATACCGAAAATATAGTCATAATAACCGTAAAATTTGTCATAAAACCAAAATTATGTCAACAATTATGGGTAATATAATTGTTTGCATTTGACATAAAACCAATAAAATCTGCACACAATCAGAGAAATTACTTTAAAACCCAAACATTTTTAAAAATATTGCCCGAAATAACAAGCTAAGAAGGAAATACAGTGAACATCCCGTAGCTGATCCAGTCGTGGTTGATATGGTCATGTCCAGTATTGTATGGAGATTCATAAAAAATTGTCAAAATGTGCGAATGGCCAGAATCACCGAGGTTATGGTCATATTTCTAGACACTTGCACACCGCGGGATATATACTACAACCCGGTAAATAACATTCCTTATCCCCCGTATAACATTCCCTAACCGCGGGATATACACTACAACCCGGTAAATAACATTCCTTATCCCCCGTATAACATTCCCTAACCGCGGGATATACACTACAACCCGGTAAATAACATTCCCTAACCGCGGGATATACACTACAACCCGGTAAATAACATTCCCTATCCCCCGTATAACATTCTAAGGCCCAGGCATCACATTCTAAGGCCCAGGCATCACATTCTAAGGCCCAGATAAAAACACGACAGAATCAGTTGGAGAACAGACACTAATTGTCTCTCATTTTAATGTTTGA